GTCTCTCTCTCTCTCTCCCCCCCCCCCCCCCAGTGAGGCCCAAACACACACAAAAAGAAAAAAGGCAGGGTGAAAAAAACAAGAGCAAAAAATAATAATAATAATAATAAGCGAAACACCAGTCACAGCAGACCCGAGAAGTGGACGCAGCCCCACCCCCGTTTTTCTGCTTCCTTCGCTCCTCTTCCATCGCTTCTTTTATCTTCTTTAGCCGTTTGGTCCGCCCCTCCGCCGCGTGCTTGTGCGTGCGGGAGGGAGAGGGGGGTGAAGGCATCAGCGCTGCCCCTTCCGCCTCTTCCGCCCCGCCTCAAGGGAAGTGTCGCCTGCAGAAGCAGCAGCAGCGGAAGCAGAGGCAGAGGCAGAAGAGGCCCGCGCAGCCGTCCTTCGCTCACGCCGCTCCACCCTCGCAGGGCCGTCGGGCTCAGGCGGCTTCCCCTCCGCCGCCGCCGCCGCCTCGGCGCGCGGGCGCTTGCGCCGCCCCTTCGCAAGCACGGCGGCGCGGTAGGCCTCGTTAATGGCGCGCTCCGTGCTGCGTGCCTCCGCCTCGCGCTGCCGCCGCGTGCGCAGGGCCCCCTCCCGCTCCTCAAGCAGCGTGTCCCACGAGAAGTTGTCGAGGAACTTCACGGTCCACAGCTGGCCGTGGCACTTGCGCCGTCGCTTGCACGCGACGGAGGTGCCGTTCATCGCCGCCGCTGCCCGTCGCGCGTCCGCGGCGTGGGCGAACTCCAAGTAGCCGCTCCTGAACTGCAGCGGCAGCAGCGGGCCGCCGGGGCGTCGCTCCTTCTTCGGGAACGGCGTAAACTTCTGCCGCAGTATCGTCCCAAACTCGCTGAAGTGCATGCGGACCTCCTGCGGCCGCATGTCGCGCGGGATGGCCGAGAAAAACAACACCCCGCGCCGCGCGGGGGGAACGTAGTCGTCGTCGACTTCGTCGTGGCCGCCGCCGCCGCCGCCGCCCGGCATCCCTGGCGAGCGGTTGGGGGAAAAAAAAAACGAAGCAAGAAGAGCCACACGCCCCAGAGGCCGCAGAAAACTGCCTTCCGGCGCTGCTTCACGGGAAGCGTGGGTACGCGTGGGCCGCAGCGGCTCCTCCTCGTCCGCTTCCTCGCGTACTGAGGCGGCAAAGCGAATAAGAAAAAAAAAACGTGCTGTTGATAAGAGCAAGTGAACAGCAACACGAAGAGGGCAAAGGAAGTCAGCGGAATGGGGGACAAAAAAAAAACAAAAAGGATAGAAAGGCATGCAAGTGGCACTACGCCCTTCCATCGTCGCGCCCCTGCGTTCGACGCGGGGGGAGGTGCTTTTCGTCTCCTCGGCCCCTCCCGCCCACAACCCCCCGGCCGCCACCGCCACAACTTCTGCGGGCGCGTTCGTTTGTTGTGTGCATACGCCCCCCACCCCCACACCGTCGCTCAGTTTGT